CAAATTGCTGTCAGTACTACTAGTGACAAGCTTTCATGAGCCTTGAAATTAAGGATGTGTCCCGTGATGCTGAAGCTGCAGATCATGCTAGATATATGAGATTTTATAGAAGCATGCGAGGTGATGGGGTTGTCTTGAATGGTAGTTACACTTTGAGGTGTTAGGTTGTCATGGTGGACCCCTGCAGGTGCCCGAGCTCCAGCGCCTGTGGTGCAAAAACTGCTGGAGGCGCAGACCAGTTGAGGCCTCAGCAGTGTATCTTTCTCCCTCCCTCTGTCTCTGTGTCTCTCTCCCTCTGCACTTGGTGCTGTTTGAGGTTCGGCCAAAACCAGCTTGATGACAGCCCTTTATGAAGAATGGTTGCAGAGTGGAGAAGACTGGATGAAGTCTAGCATCATCAGCAACCACACGAAGTCCCACACGTCAAAGTCAAAGGGTGTGTGGGCATGGGTGCTGGAGAAGGACCCCCTATTTGATTGTGATTAGCAACATGACCTGGTGTTGAGCTGCTTGAAATGATGTAGGGCTTCAGCTGTTTCCCTTGAAAGGATTTGCTGCAGAAGTACGATGAGAGAACGGTCAAAGAGCTCATCACCCGCAAGGTGCATCTTGTGTCAACATGTGACTGTTCAGCAGGATGTCATGCTAGGCCTGATTTCTGTGCAGGAAAAGGAGGGGCAAGTTCGCAGCAACCCGGACTTTCCCAACCGCGAGGATTGTGGCACACATGCTTGCACATGTGGACAGCACTAGGCCCTTGCTTGTGCTATTTGGCAGTGCATCATGTTTGTCATTAATAGCTATATATGCATATATACACATGTGCTTAACTTAGGCTGCTGATAAATCACACCTGACCCTGATGTTTGGACATGTTGATATCAGTGGGTCTATTCGAATTCAGATTGGTGTGTCATGTGTGTCCCAGTAATGTAGGGACTGCTGTGTGGGCACTTGAAATACCAGCTTGGTTGGTTTCTGCATGAAAGCTGCATAATGCAACACAATTGAAAACTGTGGGATGTCTTGAGCAGTTTGCCTGAGCATTTGCAGGATCTCCGGCTTTTTCGCTGCTGGGATGCTTTCAAGGAGGAGGACATCAATGCGGAGACCACGGAAACCACTTTGAGGACTCAGGCCAACTTGGACCCGCAGTCAGCGCATGCGATTGGGAAGCTTGCATGAATAAGTGGAACCAAAATTACTTGGCCAAGATATCTGCATTTGCAACATACTTTACATTCCTCACACCTGCATTGTCAATACTGACTCTGAGGCAACAGCCATCATCGGTGTGGGCTGGTGGGCCTCCTGGCAATGCTGGTGGTAAGCCGAAGCAGAGTGAGCCAAAGCCGAAGTCAGTTGCGCAAGAGGCCAAGCAGGCCAGCAAAGGTTGAAGGGTTGTAGGTTCCTATACCCTTGCCTTGTTCTTTGTGGCTGTATCCTTTCCCTTTGCTCTATCCTTGTTGTCCTTTGAGTGCATTTCCTTGCAATTGCCCAACCTCTAGCATGACCCCTTTGCCTCTTCATGTTGCCTGCAGGTGATGGCTTCAGCGTCAACAAGCATAACCGAATGCAAGGGCTGGCATGCTAAGCTGGTCGCCAATGGTGTGTGCATGTCTCAGAAGAGATAGTCATGTTGGTGACCATGTTGTCATGTCACATGTTGCAAACCGATCTCCTGCGAGGCCAAATGAGCTCCTCCAGGCGCTGTGTCAAAGCCTGAAGCCGCTGCTGGAGGGGATGATCAAAGCGAGAGAAACCCTGGAGGCCTTTCACATGGTGTTTGCCCTTCCTCACACATGCCATGTTGAATGGTCAAAAATCTAAGTGCTGGCAGGGGAAGATTGCTGCTGGCTCTGATGACGGCCAGCTTCATGAGTTTGCCAATCACTGTGCTGATGCAGTGTCAGAATATAAGAAGCAGTCAGCGCATGTCAAGGTTCATGCGCTCAAGAAGGTGCCAAAAGCAAAGGCTGCAGGTGCCAAGGCTAAAGCCAGAGCTTAGTTAGGGCCCAGGCTGCATCACCGCATGTGTGAGTGTTGACAAGTGTGCAAATCATCATACTTGGCAATACTGGCAACAGTAAAACAAAATAACAGTGTTGCAATGGTGTTGCTTGGAAAGTCGGTCCCCAGCAAAGGGTGTGGCAGCCATGTGGCATGCATGTGGGGTACTCATTGCATGAGGCTTCAGCTAGCCATAGATGTGCTCGAGTTGGAGGGATATGCATTCCTCATGCGCTTGCCCTAGATCCTTTAGCATGGTGGATGAAAAAGAAAGGGTGTGAAGCGCCAATAGGATTTTTGGCAGTGCTGCACCATGCCATTGCAACTGTCACATCATTCTGAACTCATGCTTGCTACTAAAGCTGCATCAGGTACAGACTTTGCTGACTACCTCCTGAGATCCATCGGCAATTCTGTGCCTGGACCTGATGAGCCATCTTGACACCTGTTGCAACTGCTTCATGTGAGGTGTTCCAAGATCTGAAAACATGTTGTGTTTTGTTCTTTTTGAGCTCATTGGTGATGGCATTGAAATGGAGGTATCTGACACATGTAAGTGCTTCATGTGTATATGTGCTTTCTTGCATGATGGCTTTGCCTTTCTGCTAATTGTTGTGTTCCAAATTATTGGGCAATGTTGGTTTGATTGACACATGGTTGCTGTGGTGTGGGTGCACAATGTCATGTCAGATCAGAGCGTTAGCCAAAACTGAACCCTGACTGCCAGGCCTCCTCTGTGAAGCAAGCGCAGGAGGCAGCAGCAGCATGCTGTCAGGACCTTCCAGTTTCACAAGTGTGTCACTTGCAGAATTGTGTTGGGTGGTTTTTGGGCTCTGCAAGAAAAGGGCCACCAAAAGAGTTGGGGTGGCCCTTTTAATCCCCCTTCACCCTGCTAGGAAAATCCTGGATCATCCAGACTGACCCGGCAGTTGGCTGGACTTGGCAGCAAAGGTGCGCATCCACAAAATGTAGAACGTGATTTGACCAGGCTCATCCAGTTACCGCTGGACATACACTTTGTATCAGCCCCTGTGAAATGTGGACCTGGCCTGGCAAAGACTGCCACTATGGAACTTCCAATGCTGTTGCCACATGAGCTACTTCACTATCTGCATGCCTTGGCCTCAGGTGGTTATTTGATGAGCTGGCCCATTAAGTCATTGATTGCATTGCAACATGTTTGTTTCTGCCCAAACATGCTTGTTAAGTCTTTGGCTACGAGGACTCTTGCAAAATCAAGCTGAACCGCAGCCTTGTACAAAAGTACTGGGACCATCACAAACATATGCCTTGGGCTGCACGACACCCGGGCTTTGGCTACAACCCTGTCGGGCTCTTCTCGGATGAAGCGAGGTATAACTTCATGGGCTCTAAAATACTAGTTATGCTGGTGTCTCTTCCTTGTCAGGAAATTGAGAGTGCCTGGCTTGCAAGGGATTTTGGCACTTTTTTGTTCGTTTCCTTTTTGATTCAACAACTGATCCTGCAGGGTGCCATGTGCAATCAAGAGTGGCCGGCAGGCCTTGTGATGGCGCGGTACCCATTCTTCGTGGTCCGATCGGCCATCTCCCATGGCCGTGCAACTTTTGAGCCAATCCTCAGAGTTTTCTCATGGTCGATGAATGCACCTTGCCAGAACTAGCTAGTGTCCAGCCCTTTTGCTTCTGCCTCTAATGTTCAGTTTGCAGGGTTACTACTTGCTGGGCTGTTTTCCATACATGTTAGCCTAGCCTGATTATGTGGTTGCAAAAAACAGCACAATTTGACATGGTCACTTGACACTTGTTGGGAGAGGTTGGGTTCATTGGCCGATGGCCTTCCACAGATATAGATGGAAACAGCTGGCCAGCAGGCAGGAGGTCCATGAACAAAGGGCAGGTGCTAGCTGGTGGTCCCTATGCTCTTTGCCAGATCCGGGCTGACTGGAAAGGCCATTCTGATACATATGGCATGAAAGCTGGCTGGAACTCAAAAAACTCATGTTTCAGATGTGCAGCTACAATGCATGGCCCTAATCGATGGACCCAGTGGCAAAACTTCAGTCATGTCCCGCGACGCTCACATGCAGATTTTATCCTGAATGTGCTGCCAAACAATGTGTCCCCTCTCACCTTCACAGTTGGATACCACTTTACGCTCAACCGATGGTGCTCTATGCACATCATCAATCTGGGATTAGCTCAATGGACCAATGCTGCATGTGCGCTTCTCTTGGCGGATGGGTGTGCTGGCCAGCCTGATGATGCTTTGAGCCAAGGGCAGCTAAATACTATGTATAGCACCTTCCGTGCTTGGGGGTATGCCATGGGCATATCTCACTCACAGCCTCGCTTCACTGTTCAAATGGTTCGTGGTGCTCTGGGGGACTTTGCTGAGTTCTCACACAAGGCGTACAATGGAAGGGTGCTCCTTGTTTATTTTACAGCTGCACTTGCCCAGCTCAGTGCCAACACTCCAGCCCAAGATGAGCTCTTGAAGTTGACTCTTGGAACAGTGCAAAGCTTGAATGAGTACATGTGCAAGGTTGAGGAGTACCCCATTTACTTGACCAGCCAGCAAGCTGAACACTTGAAAGAAATTGGGCTGAAGTTCATCGCAAGATACTTTGCAGCATCCCGTCTTTGCCGTGCACTTGGGCGACTATGGTTCCCTTTGCGCCCAAAACTACATGTGCCTTCCTATGCTATAGCATCTGTTGTTTGTTTATTTGATTTGTGCAGTCATGAAACCTGTTTTTGTCTTTGACGTGTGCAGCAAACATGTCAGGCTTTCCAGCATGTTCTAGAAGACCAGTGCACAGAGCTAACCAGTGCACGTGCATACCATACATTTTTAGATGAAGATTGCATGGGGACTGTGAAGTCACTGGCGCGAAAGGTTCACAGAAGCTTGGCAACAACTTCTTTATGATCCATTTTGATTGTCGTATATCAAAATACAACTGAGTTCATGAGTAATGACAAAAAAGACCTAAGGAGATGCACTGGAAATCAGGACACTGCAAAGATGGATGCTTGTGCTGAAGCAGTACTTACCACCAAACCGGTGACCAATGTGGCAGAGCTGGTGGCGCAAGGTGAAAAAGTGATGGTGTCTGGGGGGGTGGGTTATCGGAAACAATTTGTCGGAAAATATACCCCCAAAAAAACACTGGTTTGTCGAAACAGCACATTGTTTTAGTGCATTGTCGGGAACCTGTGTGGAGATCAAAGTTTCGATCCTCAGGGTGTGTGTGTGTGTGTGCTTGTTTGTTTCGTGAAACGTTTGTGCTAAGAGTACCCCTTTCACCATTTTAAGGCCCCCTATTTTTACGCTACCCAAATGCGGGGTTGTTCCAAAACAGACCCCAAAACTGGTGGTTTTGCGTTTGGCTTCCCTTTGAACCAACCAAAAATGGACCCCGTAAGGAGACATACCTAAATGGGTGTGTCGCTTTTTGGGGAGCCCCTTTTGCTTGGTGTTAAGATGCTTTAGGAGGAAGCCACAAGGAAGCCATAGAAACTTGAATGGACAATTGGATGGACGCTTGGATTGGATGGAAAGCTGTTTAACACTTGGATTCATTTTGACAAACCAATCGTCGGGCCCCATGTTTTGGGCACACCCACCGAAGCGGCCTCGGTAGCGGCTGCCGCGGATGGCGGCGCGGGGGTAGTAGAGCGCCTCTCCCACGAACTGCTCCAGCCACCAGGGTTGCACCGGGACGGCGTCCAGCTCCTTGGATGCGGAGATCTCTCGGAATGAAACGTTCCGAGAGTCTTTCATGATCTCCAACAAACAAAACGCACCTGCCCCAGTTTCGCGGTAGCTGTGAAATGTTCAAGGGGAAACCTACATAACAAACCCTGGGTAGAATGGATCGGTGGAGGGGGGTGGTCTCCCATTTACCCTCTACAAAAAGGGGTTCACGCACGCCGCCAATCAATTGAGAGTTACCTGAGGAAAAGCATGGGCTCCGAAAAACCACGGGATGCCACGGGTCCATGAAGGTGACATCAAACCAATTTTGCATGAGCCGCGCTCAAAACTACTTGTTTTCCCCAAGAGGACAAGGGACATTGAGGGAGTGCTCCTGGCTTTGGGCGAGAGACTTTGTGAGTCCTCCATGCGCCTTGCAAATGGGACATCGGCTGCTGGAAATGTTGAGCCGACCAGAAGGGGAGAGAAGGGGGGGTGAGGTCAGGTCCAGCATCTTTGGGATTAACCCAAGCCCTCCCTTGACTTTATCACCCTGGGGATTCCCTTGGTATCACAACAAGTGCATGCTCCTTGGAATTGAGGCACTCCCCTTAACGGGCCCCAACCCCGACACCCGACATATACATGCCCTGAAGAAAGTGCTTGCAACATAGGCCCCACGCGTTCACCGGGGGTCCCCAATTCATATTTCCAGTCTTGCCCACATCAAAACAGCCCACCCCCGCCTTCCATTCCATTTTTTGCGGGATATGGGGTTCCAAAGACAAACGCGCGTCCCAAATTCACAAGTTTCTTCTCAGGCGCAGTCACTGGGTTTCGAGATTTCGCAAACAAAAGCGAAGGGGGAAGCTTACCATTGGTTCCACCAAAAAGGTGTCGCGAAAGTGCTTGTCTCTGTTGGCATATTTTTCATTTTGCCCTGGGCTCCTTGGATTTGATGCGCACTCGCACATCCAAACTTGAAGGCACCTTGTTAGTGGGAGGGAGGGTAGCGCCGATCGCCTAATAAGTTCAGCGTCCTAAATGGCTTGGGCAAGGTGCCTCAAGAGCTGGGGCGTTCAAAGCCCCAAACAACCATGGTGAACAAGTTCCTTCTCCTGAGTCTCGATAACCCTTGAGGTCAGCTTAAAGGGAAACCAAAGGGCAACTGCTCATTCAAGGGCTTCCCTGTGCTGTGATAGAGCCCCGTATGCGCGGTAAGGTGAAGAAGCGCAAACTGACAATGTCCAGGGCCAGTTTTGGGAGACGCCCGCATGAACTTTGGAAGATTCCCTCTCAAGCGCAGCTAGGAGGCATTTGCAGCCAGCCATATCGGCAATGGCCAAAATGTTACCAAACGCATTCTGTGAACCCACAATGGCCAAAATGTGAATTAGCACCATCAAGTGCTCTCACCTTTGAATAATTTCACAATGGCCAAGTGTTAACATGTTCCCGTTGACAACATGTTAATAAACATATTCAAGTGCTTTTCCTTTGAATGAAATCGGAATGGGACAAAAGCATAAACACGTTCAGGTGCTGTCCCCTTTGAATGAACTCGCAGTGGCCACAGGATTCACAAGCAAGGGCAAGACCAGTCGCAGAGCAACGCCATATAGTCTAAAACTTTCAGTTTCACCACGTGCAAAGCATTGGGGGGTTTAGCAAGGAGGGCCCGGGGCGTGTTTTTGTGTTTGTTTGTTTTTCTTGGGGGGGGGGAGGGGTTCTTTGACTCCTGCAAACCCATGGGAATCATGGGTGATTTCTATGTCACTGCTATTTGGTCTCATTGCTCGCGCTCTGTGTGGGGCCCTTGCTGAGACCGCGGTTTGGGCCGTGAACCCAGCTGTTGTCTTCTGTGCCTGGCGTTGGGGTCACGAGCTGGGTTGGGGTTGCCAAGGTGGCCGCAACAAAACAACCAAACCGTTGAGACAAAAAACCCGAGAGACGCCCGCAAAGTTGGTTCACGGCCTTTCTCGCATCCAGAGCGAGTCCGTTGGCTCCAACTTGTTAAACTTGGTTGATTTCGACCAGCGGCCATGAAGTAAAAAGCGTCGTAGTTCGAAAAGTTGCCTTCGTAGAAGCTACCTGCAGGACGAACAACGAATCAAACGAAGCAACCAGCCAACCGACAAGCCGGCAAACCTGCCAACCAACCAAGCGACCAACCAACAAACACACCACCTGGAGCCCGAACGGCGGCTCTTTCTGGCCGTTTGCTTTTTCCAAGCTTTTCGTGTGGCCGTTGTGAACAGATTTGGCCGAATGCAGAAAGAACGGGTTTTTTGGCCGTTTGCCTTTGTGGCCGACGTTGGTAGCGCCTAAACACGAATGCCCAGCAAGCTTCTGAAAGTAAAAATGGAGAGCTCAAACAAGCATGCCGACACACCTGGTCGAGCCAACGCCTTGGGCTGCCAACGTGCGCTTTCCTTTTTCGAGATCCTTGCTGGTTTGGGCTTCCTAAGGGACATGACGCTGGGCGAGTTCTTCGAAAATTGCTGCAAATCTTGCTGCAAATTGCCAAATTCGGCCATCCCGCCCAAAAAATAGTCGTTCCCTCAAAAATTACGGCCGCCCCTCGACAATGTCAGTCACCCCCGGCAAACCTGCAGAATCGCAGCCAACACCATCCTTGGAGAATTGCAGGCGTGCTGAGATATTAGGAACAACCAGGCTTCAAAAGAAAACAGCTTTTTACAGGCCAACCAAACCAGCCAAGCCAGACCAAACCATCCCAGCTACACCAAACCAGCAAAAACAAACGAACAACAAAGAAACAAAGAAACATGGAAACACAGAAACAAACATAACACACAAACAAACAAACAAACAAACAAACAAGCAAACAATGAAAGATTGTTTGCTTGCTTGTTCGTACGCAAGCAAGCAAGCAAGCAAGCAAGCAAGCAAGCAAGCAAGCAAGCAAGCAAGCAAGCAAGCAAGCAAGCAAGCAAGCAAGCAAGCAAGCAAGCAAGCAAGCAAGCAAGCAAGCAAGCAAGCAAGCAAGCAAGCAAGCAAGCCAAGCAAACAAACAAACGAACTAGCAAACCAAATAACAGAAACAAACATAACACAAAGACAGAAAGAAAGAACGGCATAAAAAAAAGAACACCAGAGGAAATCAATACATAAATAAATAATGACATGAAACGAAGAAACAAACGTAAAACAAACTCCAACAGACAGATGACAGACAAACAAACAAACACACCAGACCAGACCAGACTAGACCAGACCAGACCAGACTGAACCAGTCCAGACAGAGACAGGACAAATGGACGGACGAACGGGCGTGGAGACAACCAGACAAACAAACGAGCGAATAAGTCAATCAAACAGCAAACAAAATCAAATCCAATCCATCAATCAACCAATCGAACAAAACCACGCCCGAGGGAAATCTGATCACATAGCCTCAACACAACAAACCATGTCATCAGTAGCTGCCGGCTCCCCACATGAAGCCCAAAAAAGAAAAACCTCACACAAGGCAAGTGGGCGGCAAACGAACGCGGTTCCCGCCTAATACGAAGCGGAACACGGAGTTAGGTCCATTCACCCAGTCCTTCCGCACCGTGTAGCCTGGCGGGTTCCAAACACGCTCTTGTTGGGCCAGCGAAAAGCTGTATCCAGAAAGGGCGTAGGAGCTTCAGAACTGGGTGTCTCCAAAAAAAAGAGGCCGTGGCTTACCTTGAACTAAATTGAAAACATCGACTATAAAGGTGTGCCCAAATGAGGGGAAGCATCCATCTTCAGCGCCTTACAGCGCAGTTGCACTCCACTGCTATGATCCGGGGTGCTAGGACGCCAAACCGGACACCATCATCTGCTTCCCACTTGCTTGGCGGATCTTCAGCGACCTGGACCCTAGACATGGGATTCTTGCAGCTTTCTCTCATGCGGGTTCCATATTCCCTTCCGCTCTTGGTTGACGTTGGGCTAGGGGAGCAAAATTATCAAATGGTAGCAGTTAAGTGGATTTGGATTTCAACCGCCAAACCGCAATAAGCAAAAATGTAAAATGTTTCCCAACAACAACCATGTATTATAATGGCCATAGGTAAATTGGTAGTTCTTTCACTTGTCGGAAGCTTTGTTAAAGTTCTCCAATGGTCATTCCATGGGGATCTTTTTATCAAACCCCATGAATCATATTCAAGACCTAGTAGGGCCATGCTCTTCAGGGCGGACCCCCGCACCCATTTCGCAATGATTGCCATCGCCTCTGGAATCGTACACGTCTTGATCCGCACTCCTTGGCTCAGCAGGGAATGCAGTGAGCAATTCGCCAAACCCAAAAGTCTAGAAAACAGTTTGGATGTGGTTGTTGTGGTTCCACCCCTGTAGAAGGTTAAAAGAGTACTAAAAGAGTACTAAAAAAGGACCAACAGGGGGAAGAACAGGTGAAATCCACAAAAGGCGCATCCAAAAAGGTTTCTAGAAAAAGGGGTTGAGGAGAAATCCACTGAACAACTTGGGCCAATGTCCAAGGAACAAGACTTCACCACGGAATCCGAAACCAAAAGGCATTGCCAGTGATTGACCCCGCGGCAGGCAAGCGAGCGCTTCTCCGAACGCGCGCGCTTCTGTCTGGCTGCTTGCCTCTTCCCCAGGTGCTCTGAGATATTACCATTTCAAACTCCAGAACAGACCCTCCTGGGAGGTCGGGTTTCCTGCTACTTGCTATATTTATCAAGTTCTATCTAATTTGTGTCTCACATAAAATTGCATTTAAAAAGGACAGAATCCAACCATTTTGTTTAATTATGAAATCGAATTTAACTAATATTCCATTTCAAAACACATTGTAAAACGGAGTTCCTGTCCAATAGAATCGGCTTTGCAAATCAGTAGGCATTTAAACAACGTGTATTTAACAATTCTGGGGCCTCTCAGTTATTTCTTATGAATTCCATTTAATGTATGTACTCAAAGTAAGAAGAATTAAGTAAGGAATGAGGAAACAAACGCCCCGAGAAATCTGAAAAACGCAGCCCCCAGCAATCTGAGAAACGCCGCCCGCAGGACGTCCCGCCCTGGGAAGAATGCCTCCTGGGAGGGTGTTTTCCATTCAAGGCGCACCCCCCTTTTCCGGGCCGGTGTTTGAGGTTCAAACAGGAAGGCGAACAACCCCAGCTGCAGAGAAAACCACAAAGAAACCAAACCAAACCAAACCAAACAAGCGAAACCCGGCAAAACCAAGCTTTAAAACCAAGAAAGCAACACACACCAAAACCAAGCGAGACCAAAGAAGCCCCACACAAGGGCTCGACGCACACGGCCTCTGCTAAGCGTCAAGTTGGCCTGCTCAAGGACCACCTGACGGAAGCAGGTGTGCCAGGTCTGGTTCTGAACCTCCCAGGCCGCTTGGACGTTGCTCCTTAGTCAGGTCCCAGCGACCCATTTCGGGTGACTCACCTCCCAAGCAAATTCGTCCAACACTAACATGGTCGTCTCGAGGGGAAGCCACCCCAGATCTCCAAAACAGACCATCTGTTCAAGGAGAGCTTCCAATGCCAAAGGCCTGCACCTCAGCACGCCAAATCTATTTGACGCTGATGAGCTCATGTGATTGTCCAGTTGCTGTCATTGTAGGTGTGAAAGACGTGTGGGCAGTTGCAATGGATTTCCCTGTGGCAAACAAGAAGAAACACCCCACCCCCAAATGACGCAGCGTCAAACAGGGTGGGGAACCCACCAAACCGATAACAGAAACGGTGAACAATTGGGGCGCTTGGTTCAGCCCTGGCCCTGAGCCCTGTCAGCCAAAACCACTGCGCTGCCAGGTTCGTTAGTTTGGCTCAGGGCAAAGGGAAACCTCGCTGCGCTTTCGTCTAAAAACTGCTCGAACCCTGGAGCCGAGTGATGTCGCCTTTCCTTCCATCTAAGACCCATCCTGGGCGCAAAAGAACACACACACACACACACCGACATGCTCTTCAAGTGGCCGGCGCATAGATGCATGACGGGCCAAATGCAGTCTTGTCCACCAGTGATGCCAAAGCAAGATCTCAGCCCAACTCAATTTTCAAGCCGAAGCCAACCCCAAATTCACCCAGCTTGACAACCACACACGCTTTCCTGATACAACTGTGACTTACTTCCCTTTTCTTCAGATGCCACACAGGGCCTATGGTGAAGATACAAACGCTCACTCACAAGCAGATGGGTGTATCTTTTTTGCGGGTACCCCCACTTTTGGTGGTTCTAAACGGAAACCAAAAGGAAACCCGCCATTTTGGGGGTCCCCTAAACAAAAGACGCACTCAGTTCGATGGAGGAACCTTGGAACATAGTCTGAAACTTCCACCCCACCCCCCAGGCGCTGTCTCCACTGCTCAATGCGGCTGAGCAACGCAGCAGTCCTGCGGTAAGCTGATATATGGCCCGTGAGCAGCTTGGAGGGCCCGCAAATCGGTGTGGAAGTGCGCAAAAGCCCGTTTTGTGGCCCATGTCTAAAGGAATTTCATGGGCCATGAAGTTGAAAACTTGTCTCCCGAATCCTCTCAGCTGCTTGTGGAAGGGACTCGTGCCAAGCTGGCGCTGCTTGGCTGGTGGCCTCTTTCCTGGCAAATTTGGTCTGGTTGCTTGGTTGGTTGCTTGGTTCATTGATTGGTTGACTTACTGGTTGATGGTTGACTGGCTGGCTGGCGGGCTGGCGTGATGCGTTGATCGTTGATGTTTGACTGGCTGGCTGGCTTGATGCAGTTCATGTATTGCTTTGCTTGCTTGCTTGAAGAAGTGATTGGTTGGTTAATTGGTCGATTGGTTGTGCCAACACATGTTCATTAACAACAAACAGCTGCCGCTTGCACCAGTGTGTTTGGGGGGGGGTTCATCAACCCCAAACCTTCCTTGCCACACCAAAAAGACCCACAAAGCACTCAATGGAATTGCAAATTTCAAGCGGATAGCTATTGGCGCCGCAAGCAAGAATTAGACCAATCCTGAAGCAAAACCAAGAGCTGAAAATGTCAGCGTTGGCAAGGGTCACAAACTGCGAACTTTGTTCATCCCCGTGTGGCTTCCTGAAACTGCCCATAACTAAACACGGTCGCCAATGCCCCAAGGCAGCTAGATCCACTGATGCAAATCAACAGGATCCAGGATCACTTAACTGAACATCATGCACTGGGCATGGAAAAAAAAACTGGAGCCCGATTCTAGGATGTGTTCGATGAAAAAAAGGAGCAATCACAGGAATCCTCCCAAGAGGGGTGTTCCAATTCCTCCATAGGATCCTCTGCAGCTTGTGTTTGGACTTCATCGGATCTTCAAGGCAGCGTTTTACCGAATTCAAAATGGCCCGGGGTCCGAAAGGCAAGGCATTTCCCGCCCCACCACTGACAGAAGGCATCTGGCAACCTTTTCCAGCCATGCAAGAGCGCCTAATTTGCGTCTCTCTATCTTTTTTGTGAGGTGGTGCCCCCCTGTTTTTGGCTGCGTGCAAGGGCAAACCAACGGAAACGGCCCTTTGTGGCGTCCCCTCAGAAATCACCGAGGCGCAGCGCCGCGTCATTCTCGGCGAAGGACTGGCTATAGACCAGCACCAGGTCCACTGGAACGGGCGGGGCCCATCTACCTGACAAAAAGGTAAATATGGCCATGGGTCAAAAAATAGGTACCCAAAATGGAACCCTGGTAAGTGGAAACATGGACCAAAATCTGTGGTCCCCTGTGGGTTTAATTTGGACCCACACCCATATGGCCATGGAGTGGATAAGAGGGCACTGGTGATCCGAGGAACACAAATGAACCCTTTTTGGTTAGGTTCACCAGTGACCCGCCACTAGATCCGCTGCATCCCACTCAGGCCCGTGCAAGGAGGAACCTCGTTCCAGATCCTTGGCTGACAAGCTGAGCCTTTGCACCTACGCCTGCCTCCACAAAGAACATGTGCGCCATAACTCCTTATTGTAACGTTCATGCTTACAGACTTTGCCTAAAACTCACAAAGACGAAGGGTGTGCTTGACTATCCTATAAGTGTGAACAGAACTTTTCTTGCGTGTGCCGGGGGGGGGGGGGGCGGGGGGGGGGGGTCGCATGAAAAATCCCCAACCCACAAACCCACCATGGGTAAATCAGTTCCTTTTGTTTGGTTGGGGGGTTCTTGCAACCCCCAATCCCACAAACCAAGAAAGACAGCCCACCACTTCAGGGGGTAAACTCCACCACAGTGTTTCTTGGGGTTTGCCCCAAACCAACCACCAAAACCAATCAACCCACCACTTGGGGGTAAGCAAGCTCCCCCAAAGTGTGCTTGTTTTCCTTTTTGGTTTTGTTTGGGGGGGGGGAGAGTTTTACGGGGACCCCAAAGGAAATCCATCACCACCAGAAAAACCCCAGCTCTACCCACCGCCCAACCCGAACCGCTCCGCTCCGGGCGGCTGGAAGGACTCCTCCAGGCTCGCCACCTCGGAGGAGCTGGCGAAGGCCCGCACGATGGCCAGCTCCTCGCGCTTTCCGCGCGCCGGCGCGCGCTGAAACCCGGCGACTGCATCCCGCACTCGGCGGCAGCCCCGGGGGAATTTTTGTTGGTTTCAGTTTGGGCGACGGTTTCGGCCCCTGCCACCCCTTTTTAGAGGGAACCTGACGTCAAACGAAAAACGGGGGTCCTGGTTTGGACGATTTTGCCTTTTAAGGGGACCGGGTCCCGGACGATGGGTTCCATGTAAAAAAAGAAACGGTGGGAGGGTAGCTTTTGAAAACCCGAGAACTGTGGAAGAACAAGATGAAACGGATGCAAGCACTTAAGAAGAGTGCGGCATCTTCATGGGCATAGGTCGCCAAACGAAGCCCAGCACGCAACAAGAAAAAAACATGAGCAACTCGTGGGCCCAGGGCATGAGCACGAAGATGCAAATCAAAGGATGTCTGCTTTGGGAACCCTGCCATGGGACCAAAGTGGGAAATGGTCAGTTGAGGTGGATTCGGCTGGGCGACTGAGCCCAAACAAGTCTTAAGCAGTTTGTGATGCGGGGGAAATGCCAATTCAGAACACTGCGCAAAATGATGCGGTCGATTCTAGGTTTGGCCCACCCCCTTGCTCAAGCACGTTCGACGCAACTCAAACATATCCTCGGGTTTACCATTGAAAGGGTCCAGGGTCTGGTTGCCCATGTCTTTGTGTAGAGACCCCCACAATGGCTTCGGGTGTTTTTTTCCCTTTAGGTAAAAACCACCAACAAAAGATAACCTCAAAACAGAGAGACAACTACTCGCTTGCTTTCTGCTCCCCTGCTAGAAGTGACCAACTTTTAGTGGTTTAATACGGAAAACCCATGAGTTACGGCAAAAAGTTAGTGTCTTAACATCCCTTGGCAAAATGCACCAAAGACTTCCATTTGGTTAAGACCCCTGGAACAAATATTTCCAGTAGTGATAAACTCCTTTTAAAACCAACAATGGGGAAAAAAGGCCTTAAGCAAATGCACCAAAGACTACACCTAGTTCTCGTCCTATCCTATCGGCTTATCGGCCCCCAAGGTCCTGCGCCAGGCACTGAGGCAGCAGCAAGAGCCATGCCAGCCACATGGCCACCTTTCGACACGAGTCGCATGGATATGACGCCAAGACAACACATCTTACACTGTACACTGTACCCTAAAGAGAAAGCCGAAAGCCGGTTGTTTTGGTCAACCATCCGAGCTCAACTAGGTCGTCCAGATTTGAGAGGTTTGAATAAGGGTACCCGATTTTTTCTGTAGTCTATTTTAGTAGGGGAACTCTCCCCCAACAAAGGGTAAAAGGTAACTACTGGGGGACCTAGTCAAATTCCATCCATGAGGTAGCCAGATATGTTCTTCTCGAAAAGGTCCCAACAGCTAAGACCAGGCCATTGGTGAAGCTGCAGCAAGGATCCCTGACGGCAAGGGAGGTGAATACTGGGAACTTGCCGCAACGCTCACAGGCCAAAAGCAGTCAATGACTGCATTCAGCAAAACATGTGAACGCTGCAAAAAGGAGGGTGATGCAACTAAATGATGGCCTGAACATGGAGTAGTCTAGAGTAGATGCTAGAGCTTACCAACCCCGAAAGGAATTAGAACTGTTGAGGCAGCGACTCTATTCTCATTCATGTGTTGGTGAGTCTGTGTATGCCATGTGCGTGTGTGTCTATTTGCGTATCTGTTCGTGCTGCCTCTGCGTTGGGTCTGCGTCTGTGTATGTGTGTGTGTGTGTGTGTGTCTGTGTGTGTGTGTGTCTGTGTTTTGATTTGTCAGGAAGTACTTTTGCAAGACATACTGACGCGTGACCACGGTTTTGAGCGAGTCTGGCCCAGCAAAGTGCCGGGGAGCATTTGGGATTAGACCCTTTTCCTCGAACACGCGGCATCGCGCTAGAGACAGGTCAAAGAGCACAGCATGCCTATTCGAGGACTTCTGTTTGAGGGTTCCTCGTGAAACATGGTTCGCGGTTCTACGCTTCATGAACCTCGTGGCCAAATTGGAGGTGAGCCCCAAGAGCCCTGCAATGAGATGATTGACAGCGCCTCGTCTTGAGGGAATTGTCCACTCAGAAGCGCAAACAAACATACCCACACACACACACACACACTCACACATGCGGCCGGCAGATTGCGAACGCACCCAAAGAAGCCCTCCATTGCATTCTACAAACTGCAAAAGTATCATTTGGTTTTGGGTGAAATCTCCCATGCCTACCAGCCATGCCGAGTCTTCAACCCGGCCTGCGTCAAGAGACCCGCATCGGAGATCGGAACCCTTTGGCCCCTTGGAGTCCAATATTCTTGCAATGTCTTGTCGGCGTGTTGGCTGGTGGGCCGGTGCTATACAAAATATCCGGTCCAAGATAAGTTGGCTTGGAAGTTACAACCCAAAACAAATGGGAAGCGACTTCATGGGTCTGCTTTTTCAAACTTGCCAGGGAGCGCCGTCCAGGTCCCCTTTAAGGTCCCCTTTAAGGGCCCCTTTGAGGACCCCTTTGACGCGTCCCTGCGGCGAGCCCGAAGGCTTGAGCCGACTGTGCGCACCCTAGTAGACCCTTCCGAGAAAAATGGCCAAGAATTCCTCCCCTGGAAACAGCCATCCCTTGAATGAGTTGCCAAGAAACACTGCAAAGAAAGGAGCAGCAGCAGCAGCAAAAGCAGCAGTAGCAACACCACCCACTCCACCAACACCAGCAGCGCCAACACCAGAACCGCCACCAACACCATCAACACCGACACCAGCAACACCAACACCACAAACACCAACACCATCAACGCCAACAGCAGCAAAGCCACCAACACCATGAACCCAACACCAGCAACTCCAACACCAGATTTGCCACCAACACCATCAACAACACCAATACCAGCAACGCAAGCACCAAAAACAAACATGTACCGGCAACACCTGCACTTCCTATAACTCCCTGGGAAGCCTCACCTTGCATCACAACCTCTAAGCAGACCCTAGTTTGCAACCCGGATGGGCACGCAACCCTTGCGTCATTTCCAAGAATATCCAAGAATCATTTCCGTGCCTTTGCGCATGCAATGGAGGAGCGAAAAACTCTACTCACGTGTAACGCCCACACAACAATCCCGCCAACACCGACAACACAAGCAGCACCACCGGCAATGACAACACTACACGCACAATGAGCGTGCCTTCTAATCTAAAGCACATGTCTTGCATGGCGAAACACCGCATGTTGCCACACCATTTTACACCCTGGAGAAACATTGCTGCAGTCTCCTTAGGAGATAGCCGTAATCTGTCGATCTGTGCAGGCCGTCGGTGCGTCGGTGCACGAGTTCGAAGGGCGACGTAAAGGACTTTGGGCGCCTCTTTGCAAGCTACACAGCAGGCGTCGCCAAGTTGAAACATACCGAACTACCTCCGTGACATCAGGCATTCAGCAGGCATTTTGCGTGGCCCTTGCCAAACAAACGTGGGACCCAGCGGGCCTTCAAGGAAGCGTTGGCGACACCTGCCTCCTACAAAAACACCACCTGAGCGTGCACATCCGTGCGTGGACCAGGCACCCAAACGCAAGCCAAGAATCCAAACCACGGGCCGAACTTTGGCCCATCTCGACCGCTAAACGGGAGGCTTCCAGGTCCAGGCCATGCCGCAAAGATCCAAGTTGGCCAGGTGGGCTGGCCCCATCTCTGAAGAGAACGTCTGGTTCCAAGCGAACATGGAAGCAAATCTGGCTCTACAAGATAAAGCCTTCCGTTCTGAAGCCATGTGGGTTTGAGTGAGGCGTTCAAATCTCTCTCTAAATGTGGGGAGAAGATATATAGGTGGAATAGATTCAACGAAAAAGGCGCCCGTGAAAGGAGCATTGGCGCCACGTGAAAGGAGCATTGGGCGACCATAGGCTATGGCCTGTGCCCTGGGGTTGCTGCTTGGAGAAGACAAACTGAGTGGTCCCAGAGGACAGCTAAAGTGTGGAACTTCACGTGGAGACACAGAGTTTCAAGGATCTGAACTTGGAAGTGAATAAGGGCAGTCTGTTTCTGACTCAAAAAGAGCCACAAACAATCGCCATTTGCAGTAGGTAGGGGCCTCGGTCGGGGACCCACCTGGCCAAAATATCGACCTACTCTTGGTGCTCAAGCCCGCGGGCACACGTCGAGCGAACGAACGGCACAGCATGCTTCAAAGCCAGGGACTCGGGGTCAAGATATATCTGGGTCTGGTAAATGTGCGGAGGGAAAGCTCCATCTGAAAGCGCAAAAGCGGGTGATGTCCTATTAAACCCGCAGCCCCCTATAAATCACGGGGGTTGCCCTGGGGATCACGTTTCAAGTGTGCTGGAAGCCGAGCCCGGACGAGCACCCGGGCAGAGATTTGAGAAGTTACGGGCGTTCAGGCAGTTTCGCCAGCTTGATAAGATGAGGTATCCTCGGATGCGGCGCATGTGGCGAAAGCTTTCGCTGACCTGACGAACCGCAAGCCACCCCCACCATGGAAATGTTGCCAAAAACGACAGGATGGCAGTGGTGCCGTCCAAAAGGCATGAGATTGAGTTGGGACCAACCCCTGACACAGAGTAATTGTGGGCGGGGGTTGCCAAGGTACATCAAAGGATCCTCCAAGAATGTCCTTTGATTAATGGACCTTGCAATCTGCAAAATAACTCCCTCTCTTGCTGCGCCTTCGAACGCAGGGTTTCACTTTCTCTGTTTTGTTGAATTCCTCCTTTTGGTTGACGTTAAAGGGACACCAACGGATAACCACCCAGTGTGTGTGTGTGTGTGTGTGTCCCCGCATTTAATTTAAAGCCGCTTAAGACAGGAGTCTCCTTGGCTTTAACAGTCCGTGCCGCACAGCGGCAACTTTAGACACTACCTTGCAGAGTCCAAGTCGCAGGTGGCAGATGCTGCACCCACACCTGAGTACATGTAGTCCCTTTCTCCATTTGGGAACAACCAGTTGCAACCAGTAACACTGCTGAACAAAACCAAACTGTCTCTGCGCTTTCAGCCGGGATCCCAAAGAAAAGGGGAAAAGGCGGTTACTGAACAAATGGGTGTGTAAAAAAAGGTTTCGGGACAGCTGCGAGAGGAAACCGGGACCAAGTCAAACGGAAGGAAGCCACAAAATGCTTTGGTTTGTTTCGTTCCCCTTTGCAACTCACAAAGGGTTGCTCACAAAGCAGCCAAGTGAGAAAACCATGCTCTCATTTTCAGGGTGGGCAAACGGCCACGTCATGGCCGGAAGCCTGGAATCAACCTAATTCAATAAGAAGGTTTGCCAAACCCCAAAGCAAGGGATTAGTCTCACATTGGACATGAGGTCCCCTTTAAATCTGCCAGGGTGTTAATCCTGAGTTCCCATAGGTAAGACCGTCCCCATTGGGGAATTGCAACATGTGCCTGCTGTAGGGGAGGGCTGCTCAATGTGGATCTTGAGCATGATGTGTTGCCAAATCAAAATCGGATTGAGGTTACAAAGAAGTCCGCCTTTTTGGATTGCTCACCTTCAGCCAAAGCCAAGTGCATGTGGTCATGGCAGGGTGGACATGCTTGGACTTTGATTTGTTTCTTAACGAACTGGTCCAGCCCAACCAACTAAACTAAACTTGACAAACACATGTATGGCTTGTCTACCTCATATCAGGAGTCACCAGAAGCTCCGAAAGAAGAAGCGTGACTGCCATTTGATTTAACATATCACCATTCACAATATACATATAGTCATATAGATGACAAGTGTCAATACTTTTGGTATATCATTAACTTTGAGCAACCTACCAACACGATTAGCCAAAATACAGAGTGTTCTATTTTGTTCATACTGCATTACCATGGCTAATTAAGTCGCAAACCAACAGACACACTATAAATGTAAAAGTAAGGTTGCAGAAAATGATGCTTAAACAGCATAATCAAGTATATAAAGGAGCGCAAAGCTGGCCAAGCATAGGCCCCCTGCAACAACTCGACCTTTTCTTGCTGAAAAGGGAACAGGAAGGGAATCCCAAGCATGGGAATAAGGGTAACAGTCACTACGGCACATCAAGCTCAGCTGCAGTTCTCGCCGAGTCGCCCTGAAGGAAGCATCCTCCTCAACCTGCACTACTGCGGTCTGCCTGGCGCGCCGGTGCACGAGCAACAAAACACAAAATACGCTTCTACTAACATTCAACACACAAAAAGGCCATGAGAGCTTGTCTGCACGAGTCACTCGTCACCCGGGCTGGGGCCGCCACGAATTTCTTAAAATGGGACTCCTATTTGGATATGCCTCCACTGGAAAACCAAAAAAAAGACTCCCAAAGAAGATTCCTCTTCAAGACTCACGCCAATGCTGAATCAGCATCCTTGTCCAAAGACTTCGAAGTGAGAACCTTCGTCAAAAGGCTTGGGCTGTGCTCTTTGCAGCCGACATAAAGTGGACTCAAACCAACATCTTTTTCGGGGGACCTCCCCCCCAACAATTTTGCAACAACAAAGGGTGGTGTTCTTTCCCTTCAATCCAAACCCCACAACGGGCTCCCTCAGACACCCCAGCTAAAAGCAAACGCACATGCCAACAACATAGTGATTGACTGTGCCGCTTCCGATCCGCGCCTCAACGACTGGAGCTGGGGCGGCTCGGGTCCGGCAAACATCTCGTCCTCGACGTGTGGAGAAGAAAACACCGAGGAGCGAGAGTCCCGAACGAAATGCTGAGGGGACTGCAAGAGACGGGTGGCGACATACATGTTAACCTGCTCATGGATCACTAACCCCAACGCCAACAGTGATTGGACTACGTGGTTTGGCAATTGCCAAATCTTGCGTGCAAATCGTAGATCATACAGTGTGTATATATATATATATATATTTATTTGTTTATTTTTCAAAAAAAAAAAAAAAAAAAAAAAACGAGCAAACACGGGTACTTATGACCCTTCCATAGTTCCCAACTGGAGAGGCAACCTTTGAAGCGCCACAACCTATACCCTATTCATTTGCTGGTGGTTCGCGGAGCCCCTGTTAAGGGGGTGCCTGGCCTTGTTTGAACCCTGGCTGATACGGAATCAGCTGCTTCCTCTTCCATGTTCTTCGGTGGAAGCAGGGCTAAAGGGCATTCACCCCAGCTGTATTTCGAAGGTGGGACCCCCCCCCAAGGCTAAGAGATGTGTTTGACTCCTTGGCCCCTCTCCGGTGGGAGGCCAGTGCAGAATGCTGACCCATACATAAATGCAACTTGATCGCTTAATAACACCCACAAACCAAGAACAAATGCTTCTGAGTGATGAACGCGGAGTTGACTGATCACTGGTATACATTACAATGATCCAACACTTTGGGAAAAACAAGCACGCCTACCACTTCGGAAAAACGGTGCTCGCGGGAAAAGTATAGGTTTGGTCCATGTTCAAGTCCAAAGCCCATCCACAAAAAGGGAAACGTGGGGTCCAAGCCTTGCCGAGAGCCCCTTGCTTCTGCCTGGTGTTTCGTTGCTCAAAAAGGAAACCCCGACGTAGCCACCCCCCCCCAACACAAAGCGAACATGGGGTTTGCCCCGAAATCGTCGTTTCGGTGTGTCTCAAAATGGACCCCAAAAATGGCTGGTGTCCTCTTGCTTCTCTTTCGACCATGCCAGGCACCCCCAAGCAAACACATCCACCCCTGGCAATGCCAAACCCTTCCTGAACCACCAAAACAACCAATGGAGGGAAGCTGCTATTCGCAAACCTGAGAAAAAACAAACCACCGGAGGGAAGCTGATACCGCTCTTCCTGAACCAGAAGAACACCACACCACACTCAAATCTCCAACGCCCCCGGACCTGGCGCTTTTTTATCGCCCCAAAGCCCCCACACCTGGCGCTTTTCTATCGCCAAGGCGCCAGCTGTGACAGGCCCGCGCTTGGTTGGCCCCTGGTGGTGAAGGCCATGGGCAGCGCCGGCGGGCGCGCCACCAGCTGCCCCGGCTGCAGGAAGGACTCCTCACAGGCGGCGCCCTGTGTTCGGTTTTGGCGAGTTTTTTCGAAGGTCGCATGGATATGACGCCAAGGCAACGCATCCCACACTGTACCCCACAGAGAAAAGCCCACGGCTTTGGTCAACCATCCGGGCTCAACTAGGTCCAGTAGAGAGGTTAGAATAAGGGTACCAACTATTTTTTGGTAGTCTATTTTAGTAGGGGAACCCTCCCCACTACTGGGACCTAGTTTCAGAAGGGAAAGCCAAGAGGACAACCACCATTTCTTGGGGGGGGATGGGGGTTAAGGGAAACCAAACGGAAAACCGCCTTTTTGTTACTTGCTTTGGGTTTGTCCGGGGGGGTGGGGGGGGGCACAGCTTCTACTTTGAAAACGGCCAATAGATGTGTGTGTGTGTGTGTCCACATTTGCAGCCA